CCCCTGGCCAGGCATGACCTCACGGATGGCAGACCCCGGCCCGTGGTTGTCCCTCGGTGCTCGCGTGTTGGCCTTTCAAGGTCGCTCTCTTTGCCCCCTCTGCACGCGTCGGTGGCCTGTCCGATTCCTTTGTTCTAGTGCCCTCAGGACAGCCCGCGTTATTTCTCGCGTGTTGGGCCCTCCTAACAGAAATATTTTGGTCTTACTCAATGCTCATAGGCTGATCTCGAGTCATTATCTGCCCTAAGCGTGTATTTTCACCCGGGTATCAATAAAGCAGCAGACGACTGTTATCCTCAAATCGTCTACGATCCTCCTTCCATTTGCGAATGTTGGTTTCTTGGAGATATTATAGCCCTGCTCAGTGCTAATGGTCTGATCTCGAGTCATTATCCACCCTCTCCCAGATAAGCGTATATTTTCATCCGAGTATAAACAAAGCAGCCTTAAATTGTCTACTATTCTCGTCCCACTGGCTGATGTCAGTTTGCTGGAAATATTATAGCCCTACCCAATGCTGATAGGTTTATCTCGGATCATTTACTGCCCTTTAGACCGTCTACCGGATAAGCGTCTATGCTGATAGGCTGATCCTGAGTCATTACGGGCCCAAGTACGTTATTTTTGAAGGAGGAGGAGTACTCACCAGCACAACTGCAAACGCACACAACGTCTGATGAAAGCCGCTTGCCGTTGTTCATAATTTACCAGGCAAAGTACTTTTACTGACACAGGCTATGCAAGACGCGGAAGTGGCAAAGGCTAGCGCGGCCGACGCGCGAACGACGCCTGTCCGGCTGCACATCTTTTCAAAATTGCAAGTGCAAACTGACTCAGGTTCGGCCCAGGATCTCTTGTAGTTTAGGTTTGGAGCGCATGCAAAATTTCCAGAAGTTTTTTTCTCGGGTCTTTGTTCCTACCACATAATATCACCACTGACAGAGACTGGGTAGATTGGTGCAGTATCCAGACGCGAGGAGTGAGTTCCGTGGCCAATCGGCGAACACCCGTTCGTAGCATACCAGCGCTAAAAGTCGCCGCCTGAAGGATTGCCAACTGGCGGGGAAACGCGATCCTTTTTGAAGGCCGACAGTCAGGCTGCAGTGACCCCCTGTTTTAAACTGGTTCTGCGATCCGAGTCGTCTTAATGTAAATCGGGAAATCATGCTGTGTGTGTAGCGCGCTTAGACAGGTTGTCTAACCTTTGTTAATACTATTCAATATTGTCGATCTAAACACCGGCAGGGCAACGAGTTCATGTCTCCATGGTTAGAACGTCGGTCTCCTGATCGGAACATCGCGGGCCAGAGCTTCGCGTAGTGACGTCTCCTGAGCCACAAATGACTGTTCCAGTTTCCCTTCTCTTTGCTGGCAATGTTCAGCTGAACCGATCTCTCCTTGTATTGTACTTTACACGGCTACGATCATGCATGATCTAGCCGGCTCCGATGGTGTAATGCGTGATGGTCTGCCGCAAGTGATCTAGCAAAGTGCAACCCCATTATCTTCGCCAGCAAAGGGGAGCGAATACTGAAGGCGCAGGAACCATTTCCATGTCTTGACATTGTCTTGGCATCAAAATGAGCTAAAATGAAGGAGGGGAGAGCGTGCGATAGACGCTGCATAAGTCTGCCTCCCTGTTGACTAATTTGTGCCCAAGTCATTGGTCATTGGGATGCTTAGGATGATCGAAAAGTCGTGACAATACCTCAGTTAATTTTCCCATTTTACATCTCTCCTGCTGGTGACAAAGGCGGTCCTTACAAAATCATGTTAATTATTTCGACTTTTAAATTCTTGCCGGTGTAGGCGTCGAAGAGAGGAAAAGTGGACGTACACGCACTGGGGGGTTAATTTTCTCAGGCGGAAGAGTGGAAATTGATTAGTTCATACATCCAGCCAGCCAGCCAAATAGCCCCTTGATAGAGCCGCAACTATGGACTGGAGATGGACCGAAGATTGCCTGGGCTAGAAACGCACCGGTAATGGTAGGTTATGTAGGACCCCTTAGCCAACACTAAACCCAGAATCGTATAAAGCGGGAATGCAGGCAATAGCGGTTTTAACGACAGGGCAAGACAACGTGTAAACTAAGTTAACCTCCGCCATATTTATTCTTCTACGCCTACACACAGCAACGTAATTATAAGTGATATTTAATGAAGTAGACAAAAATCAACTCTAAATAAATAGAAAGAATTTTTGTAACAAAAATCACGATAAAACAACTTTGTGCATGTCGTTATATCCATGTATTAAACACAGAGGGTTACTTACCATAGCTGAAATATTAAACAAAAACAGGCTAGGCTGTGTATTTTTAACCCAGGAGGCTTAAATAAGCTATTCTTACCGAAGCACCTTTTAGGATTCGCTCCGAGAAAAAAATACTTTACCTATTTTTCCACTTTAGGTTAAAAGAGTTAAATGTGCGATAAGGTTAATGACTGAATTCGAATTTGAAGTTTGCTTATGGTTTAGGAGACAACAATTTAGGGTTTGGTTAGGGTTTAGCTAACTAGAATTAGAATAAATAATAGTAATAATGATGAAAGTTAAGATTCTCGCTCATTTTAGATACTCCTACCCCCTAGTCCTGTAGTAATTTCGCTTGCCACTGCTGCGTTGGGGTTGGCTCTTTGAGCCAAAGCACTAAAGCAGGCAACCTCGAACGAGCGTCTGTTGGGCGTTTGTCTGAAGTCAAAGCTCCCAAGAAACCTCAAATTCTCCTCTTTTTTCATTTTTCTTCAGGAAGATATAGTGTTGAAAACCCTTTATTTCCAAACTTGTAGGATCGACTGGGTGGACGAATTTGGACGCTTAAAAGGGGCGAAAATATGGCCGACTTGGGAGCAATGATAATAACGGGAATGTGTAAGTTTTCGGCAGTGTATAAATTCTGTTTTTATTGTGTATCTTTGTGCTTGGCTTACTAGTATCCTTCCGGCTGGGACAGGGATCCTGGAGGGAGAAATCTGCATGTTGACTAGATGCGGCAACATCGCAAGGATATCCTGAACCATCCTAGGAAGAAGACTGAGTTGGTTTAGACACTTTTGTCGTTGTCAACCTTACGAGATCAATGTTGCTGTCCTCCATCTGACACCGTTACCCAATTGAGAACGTCGAAGAGGGGGTCAGCTCAAAACCTGGCTGGACTTAGTCCTTCTGTACATAGAAGTGGTTCTTGGACTTTCCGCATTGGTGAAGGGAATGGATTGAACTGTCCAGGTTCGCTGCCACGGATCGTCACGCGTGGAGCAGTACCATCCGGGGCACAATCGAGACCGGCTATGTCAGTCATGATCGCAGCCGCAACGAGTACAAGATCTGCCCATTGGCCACGCCAACTGACGTAGCTATCTCATTCAGTCGTGACACTACAGACTGCAGATCACCAAAGCTTGAGGCTACCAGGGTGATATCATGGGCATCATCTACATCCTTCAACGGGCGTCCGGGTGCAAGCTCAGCACCGCCCTCTTCATGTAGGGCCTTCCCAAAAATCCAGTCAAGAGCGTACTTAGAAGTAGTTGGTAGTATTCCACTCGAGTTCTGGTCTTCGAACAATGGCGTTAAAGAACTTCCAATTTTCGCCCCTGTTCTACGTCCACAATTACAACGACCGGACAGATGCACGGTACACACAGATCTGAATGGCTATGGAGATGTCGTGTGCGATTCACAGGCACTTTATAACGATTCAGCCGACCTTGCAAAGCAACAGCCTCACCCAGAGAGGTATTTAGAAATATCTGCTCCTTCCAGTTTACAGTACAGAATCTCGAGCCAGCTGCCTTCTCCTGATCGAGACTGCAGCTTGAAAAAAGTCCAGCGTCTATGGCTAAACCGATAGATTTCGCGACTTCACTCACCCGTGACACGACAAACTCTGTAGATCTCTCCCCCCCCCACCCCCACCACCATTTTCCTATACACTCGCAAAACACATGAGTTTGTGTGGTTTCTGTTTAATCTGCTGCCCTTGCACTCTACCCTTCCCTTGCACAGCCGCCAACCCCCTGACCATTTTGGCCAAGCAGGCTTCTCTGACCCTCATACCCGTAAACACGGGTTGTACCCTCTACGCGCCCTCCGGCCGGCCGGTTTCGCGGGAAAAGGACGAGAGGATGGAGGAGGAGTTCAACCGCCTGTTGGCCACTGCTACCCACCTCTGCCACAGCCGCGGCCTGGACACCAACCTCACTGATGGCACTTCTCTTTCTCTCGGTGGCGTCCTAGAAGACCTCATCAGGTGAGCTTGCTTTTACATCCCATTTCTCTACTGTCACCCACTCCATTCCCACCCCCTGGACAATGGTGATGGTTTGCTTGTTCTGTGGTGGTACTCTGAGCTATCTTAATCACGGGAATCTCCGCGTTATCCTAATTCCCGGTGGCAGACTCCTACGAGCTCGACTGTGCTCGGTTGCCAATGCGTAGTCCTAGAGTTACATAACGAGCCAGGTCTGCCTTTTATCAGTCTCAATGCGATGATCTAGTCTCCCCGGCCTTGGTCTGCCGAAAACCCATGCATCTTGGTAAACTTATTTTGGTGAGGATCTCCATTATCCCTCTCTTCCCTCCCCAGATAAAAACAGCTAATAAGCAAAGTGTACAACGGTGGTGGTGGTGGCATGTTTCGTTGATGCTGCGGTGGTACTCTCCGCGCTATCCTAATTCCCGGACTGAACATTCCAGGATTCTGGTTGGCTTTACAGCCTCAGTAAGGCGCCCTTACGGCCGTTATTCCAGACCCGGTATGCTAATGAGAACAATTAAGACAGAAACGAGCATACCAGCACTTACTGACCACCTGCTCGTCACTGTGTCATCGCTTGCGTGAGCCTTAGATCTGGGTAGATTGGTGAACACTGTTTCATATGATTCTGACTGGTTCCGATTGAAGTCCTTGCCGAAGGAACCCGTCTTCCCAACCCAGAGCTGACTAGTGGACAGCGGCACTCCAGTCTTCTTTTCAACGGTTGATCGAATATTCTCTTGAAATAGCCAACCAACGTTTTTTTTTCTATTTTTACGTTATCGATGGTTTAGTGCTCTCATTCACCTGGGTATTCGCTCACCCTGGAGCAGAACCCACGTGCTGTCTCGGTTCTTCTAGGGGCAGTACTTGACTTCCTAATAGTTTCCCTCCCCCCGACCCTCCCACTCTACTGAACATATATGTTTTTTTTCCCGCGCTTTCAGGTACCAAGAAAATCACATTGTTCCGCTCAAGGCTACCCACCGCAGGCTGGTCTCCATCCTCTTGGAGAGAAAGGCAAAGACCCTCAATCAGGTATGCTCCACTCCCCCCCCTCTGTTGTTGAGATGATCTCTCTTATTCTGTGTCGTATTTCCTGTTCCGTCTGAATCTAGGCACGGGAGGTCACTTAGATGGCTTAACTGCTGTAGCAAAAATGAAAGGCTTTTAGTGAACATTCCGCCCTGACTCAGATTTGGCTTCTCAAGACTGTGCTGAGCACAACAGCCCCTTCTCCTCCTCTCCCCCTACCCCTAGTATCCGTTTCAAGTCGTGGGTAAAAACAAACGGGTGTGGCCTCTCCTCTAGGGGTTATAGGAATGGGACACAGAAGTTTTACGCAGGGTGCTTTATGGCAGATCGTTGTCTCCGTCTAGACTCGCCTCTCTTAGTCTTGTCTTGTACGACGGGGGGGGGGAAATTCTGAGTGTG